TAGTAGTAGTATATATATATATATATATATATATATATATATATATATATATATACAAAAAGCATAAACCAACAGGAAAATAAAAAAAGGAAAATTATGAAAGGTCCAAAACGAGTTACATACTAATAGCGATAATAATAGCGACAAGGCGATGTAAGAACGGTAGATATGCATGGAGAGTGTTATGAAATATGCAGGCGCATACGCGACGACGACATTTTGACTCGCGAGTGAACTGGATTGTATTCGAACGAGAACGCAAAGACACGATCCATCGCCATCAATTATTGCTGTTCGCGAACTTACGCGGCTCACTTAAGATTTTACTTATGCATGTCGCGACGGGCGGACGATATTGCGGCGGGCGACGCGGAAGCGGCGTTATAACATCTGCTCGCGTTCAACAGCCAGCGAGTCTATGAATCTCTGATGAGATCCGAGATCCGAGATCAGAGATCCGAGATCGCTTCTGGCCGTGACGGCATCGCTCGCGAGCTGGCTGGAATTCACGTCGATGAAGCAGCCGCGTCAGAGAGGTCAACACTGGTGACGCCGCCGCGTCAGAGAGGTCAACACTGGTGACGCCGTCGCGTCAGAGAGGTCAGCGTCGATGACGCAGCCGCATCAGAGAGGTAAAGCGTCGATGACGCAGTCGCATCAGATAGATCAGCGTCGATGACGCAGTCGCATCAGATAGGTCAGCGTCGATAAAGCAGTCGCATCAGATAGGTCAGCGTCGATGACGGAGTCGCGTCAGAGAGGTCAACGTCGATGACGCAGTCGTGACAGAGAGGTCAACGTCGATGACGCAGTCGCGTCAGAGATGCCAACGTCGGTGTAAGGTCATGACAGATGTCAGCATAAGCGAGAGCCGCCTACAGGTATCGCACTACGCTCACCATTCGCTTAGTTCGTATTTAAAGCAATAAAACCAATAATTGTATGTAAAGACTGTTAACTAATTTATTATTAGCAGACGATATAACAGAAGATATAGATTTTTACTGGCTGATCTTCTTTGCGAGACAGCGAGACAGCGAGATAGATTCCTAATGCAGACGACGCGAAATTGACCGCTGCACATCGTAATGGAACGACATGAATTACTCATATAGATAACTAACTATAGACGTAAATTAGAGAAATCACTTACGAAGCTTAGAAGCGCAGAGAGAGGGAGCGAGGAAAAAACTGGGCAAATAAATGACTTCATATACGTGAACTCATGCAGCCGTTAGCTCGCCTCATTAAAATAGCACAACCAGTAAGACGATTTTCCCAGTAAGCTTCCCCAGTTCAAACGCTAGCACGGAATTGACCGACCGCATGGCAGCGGGCCATTTAACGGTACATTGGTGTTCTGTGAGTGTTGTGGTAATCATGGTCGTTTTTATATCGCGTGAAACCCAATTAGAAAACCTCAAGGACACAAATGCTACAATGTTGTGTTATTAACTATATAACTATATATATATTATATATTTATATAATATATAATATATATATATATATATTATAATATAATATATAATATAATATATAATATATGTATATAATATATATATATATATTATATATTATATATATATATATGACGAGAAAGAGAGAGCAAGCTAGAGAAACTGAGCGATGCTACGCGTTGTATGTTTAACCCTTATAAAACGCACGTACATACCAAAGACAAAGTCCCTTCTGAATGAGAACAAAACCGATCTATTTAGATTTCAATTAAAATACACATTTAACAATAATCAAAGCATCTTCGCACGCCATCGCAGTCGCGCTTCATTTGCACCACCGCGCGGAAACTTAATATACGTATTTGCGCGCCATGTCGTGCGTGAGGTGACCGCTAGAGGGCGCCCGCGGTTATTGGCGCCATGTTTTTACTTCCGGTCATTTTTTTGGATCAGTTCAAAAGTGAAACTCACGCTTATCGGTGAGGGTTTAGTTTTTTCCACGTTTAGCGATATCATGGGGGGTCCACGTTTCTCCGCCTCCGCCGTCGTCGCCACTGATGATGATGATGACGTCATACTGCGACGATCCCTTCAAAAAGAATCGGAGTTGCCGTTTTCCAAGCGCCTGAGATAGGTCAACACGCGGGCAATGTCTCCTCTTCTGTCTGCAAAATCACAAAGCAATGACGATCTAGCTTATGCTATTAAGAACGACAGCAACCAATAATACGCTTGATATTAACCTGAGTTTTTTCTGCATGCACCCACCAGCGCGCTTCTCGGTTGGCCCAAATTAGATAAAAAAATATATACACATATTTAGTGTTTACACATTACCCTTCGATCCTCTCGCAAAACATTATTATATTCTAGCATTTTTATATGAATTTTTATAGGTAACAAGTAAATGAATTAGACGTTACATAGGGGCATTATCGTGCAAGAGTAGCGAATACAATGCCTGCACTCGGCCCCGTCTAACAGAAAGTACACAAGGTCGAGGCGTTATACAGAGAATTAACGTTACGCTGTGAAACAGACGTGGGACATTGTTATTAACTTGAGAGCATGGTAAACTCAAACAGGATGCACGACGCTAAACATTTTATTATCCGGCGATATAAGATTATTAGCATGCGATTTAGCCGTTTATGAATTCCGGTTTATTAAAGCTTAGAGGTACTCGGCGCAGAAAGGAAACACATTATCGCAACAGATTGCTAGTTAGGTTCAGAATTCTACATTAATGATTTCTTAGTCCGTTCGATGAACTATGCCGTGCTAATATCAAATTAAACTATATTGTCTCCATATAATGTCCTCAACATATCGGTATAGTAATACATACAAATATTATGTAAATAGATAAATAAATAATTATATATATATATATATATATATATTCATCAAGAGATAGATATGATAAATAATTAGATAGATAGATAGATAGATAGATAGATAGATAGATAGATAGATAGCTGGATAGATAGATAGATAGATGGATCGACGGATGAAAGGATGAATAGATAGCTAGCTAGCTAGATAGATAGATAGCTAGCTAGCTAGATAGATAGATAGATAGATAGATAGATCGATAGATAGATAGATAGATAGATAGATAGATAGATAGATAGATAGATAGATGATGGATGGATGGATGGATGGATAGATAGATATGAATAGATAGTAGATAGCATAGATAGATAGATACGATCAGGGTAAGATAGGATAGATGATACATAGATAGATAGATAGATAAGATAGAAAGATAGAGAGATATAGATATGATAGATAGATACGATAGATACGATAGATAGATAGATAAGATAGCATAGATAGATAGAAGGATAATAGATGGATAGATTAAATAGATTAGATAGGATAGATAGCATAGAATAGATAGATAAGATAGATAGATAGATAGATAGCTAGCTCAGCTAGCCTAGATAGAATAGATAGAATAGCATAGATAGATAGCTCAATAGAAGATAGATAGATAAGATAGAATAGATAGATAGATAGATAGATAGATAGATAGATAGATAGATAGATAGATAGATCGATCGATAGATAGATAGATAGATAGATAGATAGATAGATAGATAGATAGATAAATAGATAGATAGATAGATAGATAGATAGATAGATAGATAGATAGATAGATAGATAGATAGATAGATAGATAGATAGATAGATAGATAGATAGATAGATAGATAGATAGATAGATAGATAGATAAATAGATAGATAGATAGATAGATAGAGAGGTAGATAGATAGATGCCACAGTAATACTCTCTTTCACCTGGTGGTATAACGTCCTTCATACTTTACGTTCATTAGAGACCCAAGGAACGCAGCACATGGTAGAAAATCCTTTAACGCTGATTGCCTTTCTTATTATTGAGTAATTTCGATTGTTTCTATTAATATCGCCGATGAGCGATAGCTAATCCGCGTTCTCTGTTCTCATATTTATAGTAAAAATAGTCCGCGTTAATTCTAGCTCTGCCCTCTGATAATTATTACTGTATATAGATTCAAACATTTAAATTGGGAAATATTGATTAGTGCCTATCTACACCGTAAAAGTAAAAGGTAATTTATTGATGTTTTTACTTTTACTAAAGTTTCTTGCTCGTATAAGCATATGTTGAGTGCGTTACCGTAACACATGGATCCCACGCCTAGCTGCTATAGTTAATATTCGGATGCGGGCAACGGCCTCTTGATAGGATCGTAATAATATTACCGTTGCTAAAATAGAATGCATTGAATATTGAAATTGTCAATTCAACTGCGTCATGATACGACAAAGGAAAGCGCATGGGATGATTTGGTTACATTATATGTTATTGGATTACGTCGGCATGTGCCGTCACGTGATCGTAATTAGTTTTTACGTACGTAAAAGACGCAAGTCATGATGTACGTCAACTGCGGATTCACACGCGATCATTCCTTAATTGAAAAGTAAAATTCTTTGGACATTTAAATCGCAATTTTTGCAAAGCGTCTTTATCCTTTCATCTGGAGAATCTTCCCGTATCGGATTACTAAAACATCATGATTACAACGAATGATAGCCATGTCATTCAACGCGGCATTTCACGTTATATAATATATTTACTTACTAGTATGTTTATTTATTTATTTATTTATTTATTTATTTATTTATTTATTTATTTATTTATTTATTTATTTATTTATTTATTTATTTATTTATTTATTTATTTATTTATTTATTTATTTATTTAATTATTCATGTATTCATTTACTTATTTATTTATTTATTTATTTGTTTATTTATTTATTTATTCATTCATTTATTTACTAAACTAGATGCGTGCGCGTGTCTGTATGTGTGTGTATGTGGGTGCGCGCGAGTGTGTATAGCCGCGTTCATACGTAGCAAGAAATCCGGTATTTAGCGTTCACACGAGGAAAAATGCGCGGTCCAAGAAATACGGTATTTAAACAGATCCGGTATTTGATGTAAATACGCGGCTTCCCAAACCCCGAATAATTAGCCGTGCTTAAAAAATACCGGATCTCTTGGACCGCGCATTTCCTCGTGTGAACGCTAAATACCGGATTTCTAAAGCCGCGTATTTTATAGACTGGTCCGCGCTCGACAGTTCCAGTGTAACTCGAGTAGAACTGTCGAGCGCGGATCAGTCTACGTATTTTATCGGTAGTTGGTGCGCATTGCATTGTTTATTTCGCATTGTTCGCTTGATTGTTTAAAGCAGCTCGCAGCTCGCAAATACGGCATTTCTGGAGCCGCGAATCAGCGTGTGAACGTTCGGCCGCGTATTTGTCTCATATTCGGTATTTCGCAAATACCGTATTTCATAAATACGAGGTCTCGTGTGAACGAGGCTTATGTGTAGGTGCGCGCCTGTGTGTGTGCATCTATGTATGTACGTTTGTACACGCGTGCGTGCGTGTGGGGGTTCGTGCGTGCGCGTGCGTGCGTGCATTTCTACATGCGTGCGTGTGTGCATGCGTGTGCGTGTGATATGATATAAACGACTATCCGCCTGTTCACCGAATGAGCACATATGTGTATTTATATGTATGTGTATATGTATATGTGTATATGTATATTCTCTCTGACACTATAACATATGCGGGGCAGCAGCAGCAGCAGCAGCAGCAGTGGACAATCATGACGTCACTTACCAATCACACCGGCGAGCTTGTCGTTGAATCGATGTCGTTGCGCGGCGCCGTAACTCGAATGGAACGTCGGCGCGGCGTCGTCTGTCAGCGAGAACGTGTCCGACCGACGTCCGATTCGCGGCAGGTTACCCTCGCCGGACTTTGTGTAGAATTGCGCCGATACGGTGTGTAGCAGCACGACGAACGCCAGCAGCCAACCGACCACGACACCTGCCGACAGTAGTACACAGAGGACGTCGTCAACGAGGCTGTCGTGACGTAACGGCGTGACGTAACGGCGTGACATAACGGGACATCGTCAACGCACGCTGTCATGACGTCGTAGCGTGACTTAATGGCGTGACGTTACGGCGTGACGTAATGGCGTGACGTAACATGGACATCGTCAATGGACGCTGTTATGACGTGATGGTGTGAATTAATGACGTGACGTTACGGCGTGACGTGATGGTGTGATGTCATGGTGTGACGTAACGGCGTGACGTCACGGCGATAGGTGAGCAGCGAAGAAAGAGCAAAATGTCGCGAACGAACGAAAAGAAAAAGGGAAAGTTCGTGCGCAAAGAACGAGTTGAACACAGAGAATCGAAGCCAACTGTTCACGTTAACCAATTGTCGATGTACGACAAAAGGAGAACTTTTTTACTGCTATTGTTCATTGGTATCTTTCTACTTTATTGATATCTGTATATATAATTATAGCTTCAATGAAGAAGTGGCATCGATGAAGAAGTTAGTCAAATTTACACATGGAGGTGCGCTGCCAATATAAGCGGTTTGCAGAGCATGGTCCCATTTCTTACAGACACTTTAGTTCTCTCGTTAAAAACTGTATATAAGCTCTTCTTTCCTCGACCACTGAACGCTGCCTGGGTCAGATATCCGAGATTCGTCTATTTATTCATAGAAATACACCAACACGTTTACGACAGCGACAGGCAGGGCTATACATGACGGAACTGCTTTTACTGCAGTGACGATTTTTGCGTCGCATTTAGATGTCGCGCGAAAACGACTAAAACAAACAAAATTTTCCGTCGCGAGAGAGGTTTATGACTTGGATGGTCACGATGACTGGCGCTTTCCAGATTTTACGAGTGGACTTAATGCGTTCTGCAAGCGTTAACAGGCCGACAGTACAGAAGTGTCTGCATAGAAGCCGTTTACTGATGACTATAATCGTAAATACACAGCGGTTATATAATATACCGCGTCACAAGATCCCGTGCAGAAATATACCCATTGGTAACATGTTGGTATGTGTATTAATATACTATATGTTGTAAGATGCTATGTGATAATATACTACGTGGTGATATACCATATGGTAACATACTATGTGGTAATATACCATGTAGTAATATATGAAATAGTAACATTCCATGTAGTAATATACGACATAGTAACATTCCATGTAGTAATATACATCATGTAGTAATATACTATGTGGTAATATACCATGTAGTGACATACAATATGCTAAAAAAATAGTAAAATAGTAGCAATAACTGATAATACGTTTGCCGATTACTATCATGCGCTCGCATCGTGAAAATATTTGGGGAGGAATCATGTGCTAATATACTATATATATATATAATAAGATAAGATACCGCTTGTTAGGATACTGTGTAGTAATATACCGCGTCAGCAGTTACCATACAGATATACCATCAAGTGGCCATAAAACTACGGATTATGCTGTAATAGTAATAGTAATAGGCTCTTGATAGCGTGTAGTTAATTACAGGTACTGATAAACATCAGCATTAGCGCTCAGGTAAACTGACTAGGCCGCTACGATTATGCATCACGTGTCATTTCCCTCGAGTCACCCATTGTCACCACGATCTATTACCGACATAAACTCACGCACACACACACACACGCACGCACGCATACACACGCTCACAGACACACACACGCACGCACACGCTCACAGGCACACACGCACGCACGCCACAGACACACAGCCGCATGCACGCATACACACGCTAACAGACACACACAGGTGCGCACGCATACACACGCTAACAGACACACACATGTACGCATGCACACGCTCGCAGACACGCGCACGCCCGCATGAACACGCTCACAGGTACACACGCACGCATACACACGCCTACAGACACACACAGGCACGCACGCACACGCTCGCAGACACACGTACGCACGCATGAACACGCTCACAGGAACACGCACACACACATCACGTATCAAGTATCACACTTATTAGATATGACCATATAAGGTATTACGTTACATCGCAAAGGTAATACGGTCCACAGAAAGATCCGTGAGCCGCGTGGCTCAGGTAACGACGTCCTCCGCCGTGCACCTGCACGCAGAAAGAACCCCCTCCCACCCCACACCCCACCCCACCCTCTTAGTCACGTTAGTAACATTAAGAGCTAATAAACAACTATTAATTATTAATTAACTATTATCAGCTAGGTATTTATTAGCTCTTGGTAACATCCATAGAAGTATTCCGATTACGAATCGCGCTGCATTCGTACGCTATATACGTACCGTTTCTTTCCGTCGCTCTTCTCATATCGCTGACGATTCTTTTCCTCGCTTCCTGCCTTCCTTCCTTGCTTCCTGCCTTCCTTCCTTGCTTCCTTTCCTCCTATGTTACCGACAGACAACGTAAGCAAACTATTAGCGCCTCCTCGCTGCGTCTCTCCTCCTCTCTATCTGATGCTCTACGATGCAGCCTCACGTTAAGTACGCTCTCTCTCTATATCTCTATCTTTCTCTCTCTCTCTCTCTCTCTCTCTCTCTCTCTCTCTCTCTCTGTCTCGCTCTCGGTCGAAGTAGCAGCGGAAGACTAGCGGAGAGCTATATAGGCACACGTGCGATTCTGAACGGTGAGGCCCACGTCTTTACGAGCGCCACCAGGTATAAAGAGCAAGGCCCCGCTCGCTTACTCCGAGCAATAGTCGCTCGCGCATGCGCACATGCCGGCGCGTCGACTCGGACGGCGTGACGTCATCTGTTATGAGAAACCGACACGTGGGTTGAAGTAAGCCGGGCCCACGGCAGGTCTTCTTCTTCACCGGTGAATCGTTACCGCACAGCGCGTGCACGGTCGAGGTAGACGGTGCATGGCCTGCATCGTGGTAATGCATGTGGGTGCTTGTTTTGTTTCGACGTGTGCGTGGGTATGACGAGCGGTGTCTTGAAAGGAAACGAGAATCGTTAGGTTGGTTTAATAACACGCATTCATGAGGACGCATATGGACACTCAGGTACATAGATAAACAACCTGAAAGGCAGGCAGGTGGGTGGGCTGGCAGACAGATAGACTGACAGAGAGGCAGACAGACAAACAGACAGACAGACAGACAGGTAGGCAGTCAGTCAGGCAGGAAAGCAGGCAGGAAAGCAGGCAGGCAGATAGGCAGGCAGGGAGGCAGTTAGGCAAGCAGGCAAGCAGTTAGGTAAGCATGCAGGCAGACAGGCGAGCACACACACACAGAGATGACATGCGCATTTTACAAAATAGCCCAAGGTATTATGGGATGAGCAGGACAGCGGTGGCGCGCGGTATTTGCGTCACGAATATAGATTGGTTTATTCGTCCTGTGAGACATGGCAATGACAATCTTATTTCTAAACGACGGAGCGGATTTTCGAAATTTATTTGTACTTTTACTTGCTGCTAAAAATACGATGTGAAGAATTACTGACGTGCCTTTATTTCATGCTACAGATTTCATACGGGCTGTTAGCAGGTGATGAATTGCAAAAATTTATCTGAATTATTATTACGAAGTTCTTTATGTTTCTGTTAGCGCAGCTTTATACTTGACTGCGGCTATGAGATAGACTAGCCCGTGTAATATCCGGCTATATCTCACACTATGCCTTTTGGGAGATCACGGTTATTTGGCTGAGCTAAGACAATTGCTTGGCAAGCAATTGCCAAGAGGTTTTGACATGACCCCGTCCATGCGCATATCTCACTCGACAACGTGTCTTGATTTGAGTGCATGACATATATTGGTATACGCGCAGTGCACTCATTTACAGAATAATCTTATCTGACTCACAACGCGTGTGCATAGAGTGACATATCTTGCATATCTGTCCACGCGCGCGTGCAATATTAGTAAAATGACATAATGGGGGTAAGCCATTGTGCGTTGACAACCCACGCACGTTCCAGCGGGGGAAAGGAGTATTAAAGATGTACATGTGACGTCACAAGATAATTCCTACCTTCACACGATATACAGCTCGACTGCTCGACATTGCGAGACGTTTCTCATCAAGCATTTAAATTTCATCTGAAGCTCGGCGCGTCTAAGAATTTATGTAATTACCGAAGAACACCATTTCATGATGGTTCTCGATGGGGAATCGTGTACCAAGTCTACATCGTCGACGGGGCAAGCGTGTATGCAATTTGAATCGCGTAGGTGTTCCGGAAATTGCCACAGATCTGTTTTGAGTAAACATATATAGTTGATTAATTAGGGATTTTCCACGGGCCGATAACGAACATGATTAAATGACGCGCCGTGCCGATAAACGCGGCAGCAATGCGAGCCCTTACTACGGTTTTGATCGGGACGGATATTTCCGGCATAGACGGGCTTCGTTAGTTAGTAACTCTTCAGAACACGCAATCCTTTCCGTCTACACACAAATTCCTGATTGCTGGGCACCCCGTTCTTTGTGTCGCACGTTCCAATTGCGGGTTTTGCGCACAGGGTAAAGGGCGAGCCGCGTGTACGGCGACAATGCCGACTGCGCCGCAGAACATAATTAAAATCACGATTGAAAGACTGACGGCAGACCTAGCAGCCTGACCGAGCTCGGCCTCCCGACGAAAGCTCGGAGAATTCACGAAGGGGCTGCTAGCGACGTACGGTTTAGTTGCCGCCTTGCATGCCACGGCCGCCGACGGCTTGTGCTAGAACGGAGAACGACGCATACGTGTCCAATCGATAGTCCAATCGATACGGGGTTAATCGAATTCGTCGTCGGAAAAAAATGCCACGAGAAAATGTTGCCGATTGATGATGAAAAAAGCAGTTGCAAAGAACACAGGCTTATACGCTAGACTAATGACATGGTTGGCTGAGTATAAATAGTAGTAATTGCACATTATGCGCATATGAAAGATACTGATACAGCATTCGCCTTAATACTTATTTGTTATATTATTTGTTGCAATATTTACTGCTCATATTAGACGAATATAGGTAAAGATGGTAAAAGTGGAATAAACAGAAATTTTGCTGAATTATTAAGATGGCATCCAAGGGTATGACAAGGTAACGAGGACTTATCCGGAAACGGCGTTCTTTCTATTAATTTGTTAAATTTTTGTATATCCTGATAAAACGTTTTCTGTCTTTTATACGGGTAACCGGCGAGGCTGTTTCTTTAAGATTTTCCCATTCTCCCCCCCCCTCTCTCCATCAGTATACACATGTACGCGCGCGCACACACACACACACACTTCCTCTCTCTCTCTCTCTCTGCTTCTCTCTGCTCTTGTCTCTTCACTCTCTCTCCTCCGACCTCTCTCTCTCATCACCTCTCTCTTCTCCTCTCTCTGCTCTCTACCTACACACACACACCCACACACACACACACA